AGCACCTCCCTTTCCCTGGCACCACTGCCCTCCAGGGCCCAAGCAGGGAGGGGGACCTGTCTTGCAGAGGGGACCCGGTGTCATCTTGGAGATGGGGGGGGGGTTGGGGCAATTGGGGGAGGGGGTTCCAGGCGACTGAGCCCACCAGGGGGGCGTCTCTCCATGCAGGTATGGCGCAAGTGCAGGATGCGCATCTTCACGGTGGCCCAGATGGACGACAACAGCATCCAGATGAAGAAGGACCTGACCACCTTCCTCTACCACCTGCGCATCACGGCCGAGGTGGAGGTGGTGGAGATGGTGAGGGGGGACGGGGGCAGCAGCCCCGCCCTGCTCTTTGCGCTCCTCTTGTCCCGCCCCTGCTCTGCCCCACCACCACCACTATCCCCTCCACGACACGCCCCTGTCTCTGGGTGGCCCAGAGTTGCCCCCCCCCCTTCTCAGCCCCTGGGGGAGACCCCCGTCGTCTCTTGGCCAGGCCATTTGCTCTTCCAGTCACGAGTTCCGGCTTTCCCACCTCTGGGCTCCTGGTGGGTCCTCTGCCCAGGGGGACCTCCTGCCGGGACCCACCGAACGCAGCCCCACTGAAGGCGAATGCTGCTGCTTGCTCTTGTTCCACAGCACGAGAGCGACATCTCGGCCTACACCTACGAGAAGACCCTGATGATGGAGCAGCGGTCCTTCATCCTGAAGCAGATGCACCTGACCAAGACGGAGCGGGAGCGGGAGGTAGCCTGGCCCCCGGCCCTCCCACCCTGGCATGCTAAGAAAGGGGGTCGCCTGGCACAGGATGCCAGCTGGGAAATCCTGGCTTTTCCTGGCTGGGAAGGGCATAGCTGTTTGCCAAGCCCTCCGGAGCCCATCTCTGGATGGGGCCAAAACTCCTCCAAAGGGAAGAGAAACAGATTCTAGGTTGTGTATTTTTACCCGGGGGGGGGGGGAGAGGGGGACACACAAATGACTTGTGTGTCGGAAAGGAACTGCGTGAGCTGTGGTGCCCAGCATTTCAGCCGCTCTGCTTGAGCCTAGCTGGGGTCTGGGGAGCGAGTCCAGAGCCCCCTTGCCTTCTGCCCCAGATCCAGAGCATCACGGACGAATCCCGGGGCTCCATCCGGCGCAAGAACCCCCCCAACACCCACCTGTGCCTCAGTGTCCCAGACGAGCAGGTGGGCGACAGCGAGGAGAAGCCCGAAGAAGAGGTAAGGTGGACGGGCACGGGCGGGGGGGGGGGGGGGGGCTGGCCGGGCCAGGGGCAGCGTCACCCCAGGAGTAGGGGGAATGGAGGGCTGTCAGCGGCGGCGTCTTCTCTTGTGAAGGGACCCCTTGTTAGTCATCCTGTCTGCCGAGGGACCCAAAGCCTCTTCCGTGGGGCAGCCCTCCAGAGGCTTCTTCACCACCTGAAAGGCCCCCAAAGCAGTTCAGACGTTTCCCTCCCAGCTCCCCTCGGGAGGGGCTCCGGGATCTCCCTGCCCTTCCTCAAATGGGGCCCTGGAGCCCGGATGCCACCTTCTGGGCTGGGCAGAAGAGCCGCCTCTCCACAGCTGCCGCGCCCCGGTTGCTCCGTGCTTTTCCCGCCCGGGGCTGCCCGGCTCCCTCCTTGCCCAGAAGGGCTCCCGCCTGGGGGGCAGCCGGTCCTGCAGAGGAGGCACGGGCGGGAGGGCTGAGGCAGTGCTGGGCCGCCCACCAGGTGCAGCTGATCCACGACAAGAACGCCACCAGCTTCTCGGCTGAGTCGCAGTCGCCGGGGGAGGAGGCGGAGACCGAGGCGGAGGCCGCGCCCGAGAAGGTGCACCTCACCTGGACGAAGGAGAAGGAGGCCGGGAAGAGCAAAGCCAAGAGCCCCGTCAGCTCCGAGAGCATCAAGGACTTCTTCAACATGAAGCCGTGAGCGGGGAGAGGCTCGGGGGGATAGGGGGGGCTGGGGGGAGGGTTAGGTGGACCCCCCAGGCAATGACCCGCTCTCCCTCCCTCCCTTTCTCTGCCTCCGACGCCGCTCCTGCCCGCCGTGGTCGCTGCCAGGGAGTGGGAAAACCTGTAAGTGCCCCCTTGGTCGCTCTGCAATGCTCGGGGGGGGGGAGGGCATCACCCTCCTGCTGCCGGCCCCTCCTGGCAGGCTGTGCTCGCGAGGGGCAGGGGCCGCTTGGCCAGCCCCCCACCGGCCCGTCTTCTCCCCCAGGAACCAGTCCAACGTCCGGCGGATGCACACGGCGGTCCGGCTGAACGAGGCCATCGTGCGGAAGTCGCAGGATGCGAAGCTGGTGCTGCTCAACATGCCGGGTCCCCCCCGGAACCGCAAGGGGGACGAGAACTGTATCCTTGCAGGGCTGGGCTGGTGTGGGGGGCGGGCAGGGGCCGGGGGGGGGGTCTGCTAGGTTTCTTGGAGAACCGCTGGGCTGGGCTTTTGCCCTATATAGGAAGGAGGGGGGGTCTTCTTCAGAGACGGCAGCACCGCCTGCCCCGGAGGAGGGGGCCCTGTGGGCTGCGGGGGCTCCAGGGCAGCCCCTTTGAAAATCAGAACCACAGAGCTGCAAGCCACCTAAGCGGTCATCTAGCCCACCCCTCCCCTCTGCTCAGGGAAGGAGCCCCCAGAGGGATTGGAAGGCAGGAGAGCTGCACTTCATGTGGCAGTGTGTTCCGCTGGCTTTCCTGCAGGCCTGCCCTGGGGCCACACAGCTCCGCCCCCTGCCTCGGGCTCTTCTGCAGTCCCTCCCTGACCCTCAGACCTCTTTCTTGTGGGGTGGGCGTCCTTGGGCCCTTTGGAGGGTCCCCCTCCCGCGTCTTCGGCTCTGCTGCTCCAGGCTGCCCTGCGGGGAGCCCTGGGAGGGGAGTTGGCTGAAGGGCAGCAGGGGGAGGAGGGGGAGGGGTTCTGTGCACGGCAGATACTGCAGAGACAAGCCTTGACCCCCCCACCCCACCAGATATGGAGTTCCTGGAGGTGCTGACGGAGCACCTGGACCGGGTGCTGCTGGTGCGTGGGGGAGGCCAGGAGGTGATCACCATCTATTCCTGAGTCCTGGGCCCTTCCTTGCCCGAAGGCTTCTGCCCCGAGAGCCTCACCCCCACTTTGCGCCCATCGCCCCCGCTGCAGCCAGCCCGACCCGGCCTGTGTCTCGGGATGGGAGGATGGAGCCCCAGATCTGCCGAAGGGGCCGTGGGTGGGTGGGTGGGTGGGTGGAGGTTGATGCCCACCAGCCTGCTTTCCACTGCTGCCCCTCTGCCCGGCTCCCAGGTGGGGAGAGGGTGCCAGCCAAGGCCACCAGCATGCTTCCCTTGCCACAGCTGGCCCCTCCGCCCCCACCCCCACCTTCTGTGCCAGGCCTCACTCAGGGCCCTCCCCCGCTCCTTGGACTCCCTGTGGGGTGGGGGCTCTTTGGGGCAAGGGTATCCTGGGGGAGGAGCCGAGATTCACTCCCCCCATGCAATCGTGGGTGTTTTCCCCATCGGGGCCAGGGGGCTCTTGGCACCCACTGGGCCAGCTGACCAATTGCTTAGCTGGCCAGCCCCTCCCCCGGCCTGACCCCCAACTCCACCAGACCCTCCCGCAGAGGCTGGGGAGGGAAAAAGGGCTCCACGCAGCAGCGGTTTGTCTTTCGGCCAAGGCTCCCAGCTCACACGCGCGCGTGCGAAGGGGTGTGTGCGTGCAAGGGGACCTCTGCCGCTCCTCAACCCCGTTGCACTTTAGGGTCTTCCAGCCAGGGGCCCCCTCAAGCCAGGATCAAAGTGAACCCTGGACAGCTGCAGGGCCGGGGGCCGTTTGGAGAGACCCCCACAAAGCCTTGCACTACCCCAGAACTCCCCCTCCCCGGGATAACGAAGGGGAGCACGGCTGCCCCCTGGTTGCAGAGTCCTCCTCCCCTCCCCGTAGGAAAGAAGGGGTGTGCTCTGCTTCTGTGTCCCCCCCCCCCAATTTCTGGTGCCTCACCTTATACCAAAACACATGCATTGGAGCCCTGGGGGCAGCCCCCTCCCCCAGAAGAGGAAAACTGTGGAGCTTTTAACCAATGTGAATAGTTCTCCAAGAGCAGAACGCCGTCCCACCCCCCTCCTCTGGGGAGGCTGTAAATATATAGATATATATATAGATATATACATTCTGTACATAACACAGGACCTGTATTTTTAAAGTTGTCCTATTTAGGGGAGAAGGAGGAGAGGAAGCCGTGGGGGGAGGAGCTGGGGCGGCTCCAGGGGTCTCTGGACGCCCCCCTGGGTGGGTCCAGGCCCAGAACAAAGTCCCTGCCCCGCCATGGGGGGGTGTGGGGGCTCCAGAGCCGTCCTCTGTGTAGTGCAAGGTGAGGCTTCCTCTCAGGGCAAAAGGGGCCCCCTCCCCGTCTTGCAGAGCTGACCTTCCACCCCTGTCCAGCCTGCTGGCTTCAGGCCTCCTCTGGCCGCCCTCTAAGCAGCTGGGCCTTCCCTCCTCCCCAGCGCCTGCCCACCTCACAGCTGAGGGCGAATGGGGGGAGTTTGGAGGGGGGCTTCCTGCAGGGAGAGATGCTCTTTCTCACTCACTCACACACACACACACACACACACAGGCACTCCCCCCCCCCAAGAGCAGGGTCCTCCAATTCACACCTCTGGTCAGCACTTTCCAAGGGACGCACCCCCCCAGCCCCCCCCCCGGAGGGCAAGCAGGCTTCTCTCTCGCTTGCTGGCAGATGCCCAGCCTACCTCTGGCAGTGGCAGAGCCGTGGAAGGGCCCAGGCCCGACTCCTGGCTGTTGCTGCCCCTCCGTCCCCCCAAGCGTCCCCCGTTCCAGAGGGGCCCACAGCCGGCTAGCAGGAGCGTTGCATGCCAGTTTACACTCCCCCTTCCCACACTCCCGACCCTGCATGTTTGGTGCCACGTCCTGCTGCCCTCTGGCCCCCTGGCCAAAGCCGGAGGAGGGACGGCAGAGGTGCACGGAAGACGCCGCGGCCTCCCCGGTGCTTTGGGAAAGCAAGGAGGGGCAGCCTCTCGGCCTCGGACGCTTCCTCCCCCGGACGGATCCAGACCGCAGCCCACTGTACTGTTGCTGCATCGCTGGGCTTCTGAGCTGCCCCCCTCCCTCGCTGCGCGGAGGCCGTCTCCGGAGGGCTGGCGGGGTCACGAGGCGAGGGGCGAGCAAGGCGGGCCCACGGCTGGGTCGGCGACAACTCTTCTTTCCGTGCTCACGTGCAATATCTTCTTCGTTATGAATGTGATACCAGTCGGCTCATGAAGTACCTTTATAATCGGTCACTGTAGCTCCTCCGTTTCCTGTCCACCCGAGTGACTTTGATTCCAGTGCGATGTCCTTGCGGTAGCTGTTGTGAGCTTCTTCGTAGGCCTTGTGTTCTAGGGAACGCTTGTGCAGCGCAACGCCCCCCCCCGGCCCCCTCTCCTCTTTGTACATAACCTCGGCTGTCCCCCCCCCAAGGAAGGCAAATTGGGCTTGCGTTTCCTTTCCGCCAGTGTTTTGTGTGGCCGGTGCTTTAGGTATCCAAGGGCCCACGGGCCCCTTCGCTTGTGTTGAGGCTTATACCGTATACTTTGTTTTCTAGACTTCTGTCTGCACAAAATGCAATAAAAGGATTTTATTACACCCTTCACTTGCTGGTCATGGACACTGTTGCCCTCTGGGCTGCCCCAACAGGCCCAGCCCCACCCCAGCCCCCTCTGGCGTCACGTGTCTTCTCAGGGCCCCAGAACCAGACTGGCCCCTACGAAGACGCTTTGCCCTGACAGAAGTGACTCCGAATGGGCTGTGCCCGGTTGCCCCGTGGGTTCTTGTGGGTCCTCTGTGTCCCTCGGCCTCCCTGGCTGCCCGCAGGGGTCTCGTGTTCAGAAGCAACATCTCCCTTGCAGAGTCGGGATCGGGGCTGAGACCCTCTGGAAGAGGCTTCTAGGGGGCTGCTACTCAGGGGGCCACCCTCCGCGGGGTGCAAGGGGAACGGGGTGCAAATCCTGCAGGACCAGTGAGGAGCCAGCCTCTCGTGCAGCATTGGACCATCCCTGGGGCAGCCCGGGAAGTCCTACGGAGTGCAAAGGGGGTCCATCTGCCAAGGGTTGGGGTCTGGAGCTGCCTGGCGACAGGGGTGGGGTCCTGTCCCCCTAAAGGTCTATCTTCCCCTCCTGAGGGAAGCGGGCAGGAGGCCCCATTTGCAGAACAGCTGGGAAAGGACCAGCCCAAGTGGAGAAAGAACCAACCAAGACCTGTGGGGCCTTGGACCGGACGAGGGCACAGCAGGGCAAAGGCGGATTCTGTGCCAAAAAGGGGGTGGCCTGAATCTGCCAGCAATATGTCCCCCCAAGGGCCGAAGGGGCCGGGCGAGAACACCTGGCCTTGGAGAAGAGGCGACTGGCAGGTGGGATGGGAGTTGGGGACATACATTACTGCAGAAGCAGGGCAAGTGGGTGGGTTCCCCCCCCCTCCCGACATCCTCAACTGGGGGCGGAATTCCTTGTGACAAGGCTGAGGGATGGTTGCTCCCCAATGGCTTCCGAGGGGCCTGGATAGATCCACCTCCGAGCTTTCTCCTTTATTGGGTTCAGAGAGTGGTCGCCTCCAGGCTCGGGGAGAGGGGGGGGGTCCGTGTCCCTTGCTTGCAACCCCCACCCAGGCAGAGGCTCCCAAAGGCCTCCATCTTCTGCTCAGGCACTGAGAGCAGGAAACATTCTCTAACCAGGCGGAGATCCCTGTTTTCAGGACCTTTTCCAATTCCCTTCTACAATATTCCAGTCTTCCCATATCTGAGTGGCTGCCCCAAAGAAGGGGGGGGGGGGTCTGCCTATTCCCCAAAGCCCCTTAAGGCAGGAGAAGCAGCAGCAATGGGTGGAAACTCATCAAGGAGAGAAGCAACCTAGAACTTCTCTGATAACGGGCGCAATTAGCCAGTGGAACAGCTTCCCTCCAGATGTTGTGGGGGCCTCTCCCACGGGAGGTTTTCCCACGGGAGGTTTTCCAGAAGAGCGTAGATGGCAGAAGCCGCCGGTTGGACTATAAGGCCTGCAAGGTCCCTTCCATGATTCCGGAAGGGTCTCCTGCTCGAGCAGGCGGTTGAAGGCTCCCAAGGTCCCTCCCAGCTCTCCTCTTCTGCATTCTCTCTTCATTCCCTTGCTTGGGCTGTTCGGTGGGCTTTGACGAGGGCTGAGTCGGGGGCCTGGAGCTCTCCTCTTCCAGGCAGCCTCCACCAGATGGCGCTGCGGGTCCGCTCTGCCACAGCTCCCAACCTCCCATGGAGAGCGGACACCGCTTCCCTTCGCCTCCGCCGTGCTTCAGCCGCTGTGGGCAGGGACCCTCCTGGGCACCACGGCTTCCAGGGCCTCCCCGGAAAGCAGGGCTCCTGGAAGGCCACCACTGATGGCCGGACACCTGTGGTCTCTGGTGGATGCCTGGTGGAGAGGAAGCCCCACAGGACTGCTCTGCGCCCCCTGCCCTGCTGGCCCCACAATTTCAGATGATGGGAAAGCTGCCCTGTACGGGGAAGCAGAGAGCGATGGGAACTCTGGGGCGCATCCGTGCACATGGGGAACGTGAGCCTCAATGAGGACTTGCGGGCTAAACCCAGCCTGGTTGTGACCCAGGGGGCCAGCCTGTGCGTGGCAGAGGCCCCTGTGCCCCTCACCCGTGGGCGCTCCTGCCCTGAAGGCATCCTTGGCCCAGCTAAGGCCAAAGGTTTCTTTTGAGCCAGGGAGTAGCTGGCACACACCCCCTTTTCACTCTTCCTGGTCGTCCCCCCCCGTTTTGGTGGTGCAGTGGTTAAAAGCAGCACTGCAGGCTACTGCTAGATCAGCAGGTCAGCGGTTCAAATCTCACCGGCTCAGGGTTGACTCAGCCTTCCATCCTTCCGAGGTGGGTAAAATG